GGTCAGGCACGTGGAACCACGCTCGTTTCGAAAATACCGACGTGTGCACGTATACATATGTGTACACACGCGCACAGGCGTGCAATTCGCGAATCACCGCCACCGGTGATTGTCTCTTCACCGAACCAGTTTTCGTCCACATCTCATTCCCTCTCTTTCTCACCGTTTCTCTTCCATCCAGGATCTGACTTCGATTCTATCTAATCGGTAGCGATGCTCGACACTTAAAAGTCGTTTTTCTCCTTTTTCGATCCTGATAAAAAAGCGAACCGCGAAACGAAGAAACCATCTCTGCTATCTTGAATTCAGACGTTGGCAAAATTGATCCGAAAAAGACGAGAAACCCAAGTAGTTTCGCTCGGCGAAACGTGTGCACGTTGTGTGGGAAAAGTTCGATGGAAAATTTTCGAGATGAAAATTAAGTTTGAGAAATTTTTGTCGAATGTGTGTGTGTGTTTGTTTTTTCGTGAGATTGTATGTATGTTGGTATAATTTGAACTATATTACGGTCAACAAAAGGTGAAAATGAAAAGGACGAGGTGAAGAGTTGAATTTGTTTAAAGCAGCCGCCGCCACAGCGGTTCTTCGTTTAAAAGCTTCTTTTCTAATGGGATTCAAATGTTTCCCGGCTTTTCTTCAAAGTCCGGTGCATAGTGCACGTGATCTCGCGTTGATAAGATGCACGTTTTATCGTTCTCCTAGCACGTCGTGCTTTTTGTTGTGACAAGTTCGACGAACTGACGCGCTTTCTATTCATTGTCATAGCACGTTTGCATCCGAATAACGGAACACCGATCATCTGTCTCTATGAGAAGAAAAATGTTTCGATGTGTTTATTGAATATGTATGTATATGTATACATGTATTCGTTTGTTTCAAATTAACCGCCAGTTTGAGTTCTCTTGTATTAACGACGAACGTATTTCGTTAAGAGCGTAAAAATATTTTGCACAGTATATATTTGAAATTTCTAGGAATTAATTTTTTCAATAAAAAATTTCATTCGTTAAGTTTGACTTCTGCTAGCATTTGTCTAAAATTAGCAATTTCTCTTATGAGAATAATTCAATATTTGTGCTTTCTAAAATTAAATCATTTATATTTCAATTTTCTAGAATTAAATCGTTTATATTTCAATTTTCCGAATTAAAATCATTTATATTTCGATTTTCCGAATTAAAATCATTTATATTTCAATTTTCCGAAATTAAATCATTCATATTCTAATTTTACAAATTTAAAAGTTTCGTCCGTTAAGCATCATCTTCGCTAAAATTTCTCTGCAATTTGCTTAAAATAAACTAAAATTTACTTTCTAGATACATTTATTACTAAATTTCTCGTGTGGTTACTCTTTGAAATTTTGCTTAATTCATCGTTTCAAGGTAACACGTCCGCAGCGAAACAGGTGTTTTTCCAACGAGTTTCACCAATTTATCGCTCGATCGTTCGCACCCATGCAACTTTTCATTTGAAGAACAAAAGAAAGAAAGGCGCGAAGACGCACACATCGCGTATTGATGTGATGTGCATTGATGACATCTAATAGAAGGACACAGTTCATTCAGATGCTAACAGGCGTTTCAAACACCGTCCAAAGAATGCATTTCCATGATCCACAATCTTTTACCTTCTACGTGCCATCTGCTTGCCTTTCGTATTCTTAACCAATTCGTTATTTCATATTGAGATGGACACTGCACAAATCATCCATATTTAATCCTTCTCCAAGCTATTGCTAATTTTAGACAAATTCGAACAGAGATGAAACTTGACAAGTAAAACTGTTAATTCGTAGAAAATTAATTTTTTACAAACCTCAAATACAACGTATAAAATATTTCCATTTTCCTACAAAATACATTCATCATGTATAACTGTGATATGAGAGAATTAAAAATGGCGGGTAATTTGAATATACGGCAATACGAAAGAGCGACAATGTCCCATGAAAAGAATTTCAAAAACTTGAAAAAGTTAACTGTACACGTTAATAGGTTAAAGCAAAAAGTTAATAGTGTTCTCCGTTAATAGTCCTTGGAATTTTATTACGTTCCCGTTCTCAGAAGTACTTAAAAATTTCCAACTAACTGACAATCACAAAATTTAATCAGATTTAAACAATCATATTTTCACAGTCACGATAAGGCCAACAATGAATTCTGTACTTCCTCCAACTGATATATAAAAAGAGAAATAAATCGTTTAATTCTACTTGAGTATGAATTTTCTTCTTTCCAAGAATCCTATCGAGGAAATGAAACGATAGAATGTACGCTAGTTAACCACGTGTACACGTATACTAAGTACATTAACTGCCAAATTACATAATCAATTATTATCGAACTTGATAGCGAATCGGCAATATAGACAACAGTCTCTAACGAGTATTGAACGACTTCTTGGCGAAAATGATTATATACATGTATAATTACTTTTACATGAAAACCATTTATTCCCCTTAATTCACGATTTAGAACAAAAATTTCGTATCGTTCTTCCATTAAAATTTCCAGTAAAATTTCCTCCATTCAGCTCTAAAATTTTTATTAATTCTCTCCCTAGACATTCACGAATATCAACGACTTCGTGCATCGTTTGCCAAATTTTCTCCACCGTTGATTAATAAAAATATCAAAATCAAAGGGAATCTCGCAGCTTGACGTAATAATTCTTCTGACATGTATTTAATCAAATCGGATTCGTGGCTCTCGACGAGTGAATCACTGTGTATACGTTGATCTTCAAAGCAAGTTCAACAAGAGAATCGAGCTCGAAATCGCAATTACCAGGCCGCTCCTTACCAGTCGACACCTCACCAAGGTGAAAAAAACCTTGTTCGGTGTGTTGACAGGTAGCGATCCAACGATATTTTCACCATGTTTCGAATTTACGAACGAGCAACGAAACCTAACGAACACCGTTCGACTCTGTGCTTCTCGTCAGTTGCGGCTTCGATCCTGCTATTACCTTGTTGAATTTGCAATCGACGATAAATCATAGCCAACTACCTGTGACGTAAATCGCGACGATTAAATGTATTCGTTCATCGTTACAGTTTCGAATGTATTTGAATAGAGTGACAAAAAAACTGCTGAATATGCGGTATCGTTAAAAGTTTCGTCTATGTTTCAGAGTGACGAAAATCATTATCTAACGTACAGTGTGGGTTTAATCGAAATGTTTGCAAGTATGAAAAATTAGCTTTCTACTCTTCGTAGCATCCAAGATGCGCAGCTTTCGAATCTGAAAAACGCGATTACGACTTGCCCTTTGTGTAACGTGAATGTTTCAACCGGTGCACAGTGGAATAGTTTAATTTAGAAAGCTGGCGAAAATTCGTATTTTTAACCTTAATTAAAAACCAAAAAAGTGTCCTTGTTTCTTTTTAATTTTAAAGTTAATAAAAATTTCAGGATTAAAAGAAAATCGCGAAGGAAGAACGTTTCGAATTAGGCAAATTATTAAACTGACGCACAGTGGAGTATTTCATTTAAAAAGCAGGTCAAAATTCAAATTTTCAAACTTAATTAAAAACCAAAATTCTTCTTACGATGTTATTAAAATGAAAGTGGCGCCAATAGAAAAGATTTTTATTTTCTTATGTTTTTTCAATTACTATTAAAATATAATCGTTACAGTTTTGAATTCTCTGCAAGCAAAATCTGTCTGTAACCTAACATTCCTACGATGTTCTACGAAAATTATTTAAAAATCCGTGGAAACTTCTTATGTTCCTCATTTAGGTCATGTAACTCTCAAATTGAGAGTTTCGATATAAAAATACCACGATAAAACAAATCACCCACATAAATCGACTTATTTCACAATTTTTTATTCTCCCACGAATTTCCATACAAAATTCCATCGAACAATTACGTTACATCACTTCCAAGTGCACTAAGCACCGCCAAAACTAGCAAAACAATTTTCGCAACAAATCCTCCATTGTGCGATAGTGATAAACAACCGAAAGAAATTTCGTCGTGTCTCCCGACGATAAAAGCACACACACACACACACACATATCTTGGTTGATTTACACCCTGTTTTGACGCTGGTTACGCAGCCGATATGAATGCAACTTTGTGTGAATGGTAAATCGTCTCTTGCGTCTCGTGCTTTCCTCTCTTCATCCGGAAACCCATTCGACTCGACGTATTTTTCCCGAACCAACAACAATCCGTCTCTCCCGTTAATCACTCCTGAATAAGCAATTTTTTCTCTCTCTCCAACGAACACTTCGAACAAAACCTCGTACAACATTCCGTCCAAGCTATTTTGAAAAACAATTTCTCATTCGTATCGATGATGTTTCGGGACAAGTGTGAGAGGCGGATTCACGTCAGAACGGTTTCTCGGGCACAAAACGAGGGAAAAAAGTAGATCACGATACGTGACAAGACACCCGCCTGAGAAATATCCTTGAATGTAAAAAACTCTGCATCGAGAGCTACGACGAAATAAATATCACAAGTCAACTCTCTTTTGCATACACGCATATACATATGTATATTCGCGCGCACGTGTGTGTACGCGGAGCCCTAAAAACGTAACAGACAATGTGCAACACAATTTCCCCCATTTTCATTCATCGTAAATTCTAATCCGTGTCCCCGTGAATCGTCCGCGTAAATACGATCCGTGACACCAATATGCACGGAACACGCGCATATTATTGGAAAAATTCATGCGCCGTATGAACCAACCGTTCCCGCATGACCGTGCAAATGTAAATTTTCTTTTTTTTTTTTGCACAAACAAAAAAATATGCAATACCATACATATACAAGTGGTGGACACCTCGACGCACATACACACGCACACGTGACACTCTCGGGCACGTACGCACAAACACGTGTGCACACGTCTATACACGTCCCACGTGTTTGTTTCTATTGGTGGAGAAGTTAGCCACTGGCCGTTGGTGTAGTACACAGAGCATTCAGTAGTATATAAGGGCGACTCTTTCGTACAGGCAGGCATAACCGAGAGGGAGTCATTCCACGACCGGGGCAACCTCTTCTCTTCCACCATTTCTTCTTCTTCTTCTTCTTCTTCTTCTTCTTCTTCTTCCTCTTCCTCCTTCTCCTCTTAGCCGCTCTTTCGGCACATTGTGATTCGTCACACCGATTTCTGCTCAGTTCGTCAAAGTGAACCTTAGGGGGTGACTCTTTCTTTTTATTTCCTTCTTCTCTGTCTTACTCACTCTCTTACGCACACACACACACACACACGCACACCCTGTCTCCTTTTCTCTTCGGAGGATCGAGCATATTTTTACCGTGGGAAGATTTTCTACGCTCTTTGTTACGAACAAGCACGTGTCCACTCTAGCGATTTGTTTTTTTCTTTCTTTTTCTTCATTAACGAAGTAGCGCACCTTTTGCCGCGAAAAATTTAATCGTCCACCGAGTGAACAGTAAAACGCAGTGAAACGAGAGAAAGTACAAAAAGGGAGAACTTACGATTTGTGATCGATTTGAACCTATTCTCTGAGAGAAGTGAAGAGACTGGAGGATCGTTCGATAGAAAATTCGAATCGTCGGAGAAATGAACTGAGAACTGTAACCGACGTTCGTGAAAACTACCGAGGGGAGCACGTGAAAAAAGGTTGACAGTCCGCGCATCGTTCGAAGATGTCTTCCGCGATGCTCGCCATCGGAGGATCATGGCTCACGTTGATTCTGTCCATGTGCTTGATGACCATAATTTTGCTGTTACTGGTGCAACGTGGAAAGTTTCTCTACGCCCTGAGGAAAGTGCCTTATCCACCTGCTATTCCTATAATCGGGAACGCTTATCAATTATGCTGTAACCCGGAAGGTAAGAAATTTTGTTCCATTTCTCTTAAATACGCGTTTCGTGAAAAATTGTGCGAATTTCAAGTCGAAGCGCAGACACGGTGTGAAAGAAAACGTTCGATTAAATTGTTGTTATACACAGTGTGAAAGCGGTCTCTTAAATGCGTTGCTTTACAACATCGAGGCATACACGTGGCGCAGATTATGGTTGGAATGTGGCAAACACGAATAGCACTCGTGATATAGATTATTGCGCAAAAATTAATTTCACGAATTTTGACACTGTCAAAATATATAATCTACTTCAACATCCTACATTTCTGACGGTTAAGTAATAAATCATTCGGACACGAACAGTCTGTAAAAATGTCGTAAGGCAACGGATCAAGTATTACGCTAGTTCCGATTTTAGCCAGCGTTGATAACCGATATAAAGTCCTCTCGCTTCGTCTAGCGTTCCAATTGCTTTGCATTCGACGGAAAATGATTTACAATGCAACAATAAATCGTTGAATTTTGTAACTCCAAGTTACGATCTATCGATCGTAACGCAAAAATCAAATACCAAAGATACTTGAAAGATGTGAAAACATTATCGACGACATAATTGAAAACAATTTTAACAACCTTTAAAAATCACGTTACACTTAAAAGACTTCAAACCAAAGAATTGTTTATAATTTTTCAACCAAACATTTCGAAACGTGAACAAAATAATTTTTAAGATATACTTGAAACGTGAAATGTCACTATGATTGCCACTTTTTAATGCAAAGTATACGCTGTCACTGGTATTTACTAACGTTTAACTACAAATAAAGAATATTTCATAAATTTATTATATCAAAATTTCCTGAGTCTATTTTAGAACAGTAATCACTGATTATATATATATGTATAAAATGCTAAACGAATCTTGTATTTTAAACGTGGCACGTGAGATCTTTAATTGACGATAAAGCTAATCAAATATTCACGTCTTGATTTTCACACATTAACAATTTTATCTGAGTTCATTCTTATCGATACGCTTCGCTATCGAAATCCGGCGATCGGTTAAAAATTCAACGATCCATTTTAATACTGCATTTCGTAATTTCAGCAATCCTTTTTCGACGTATCAGACGTCCTGTCGCGCTCGTAAAAAAATCTCCTCGAAAATACGCGAGAGATATCGTCGAGACATACGTGAAACTTCACCGAGCATACGTAACCCCTGTATTCACGTGCTTTTATTTCCAAATTGGTACGAGATAACGATAACCCTGACATTAAAGAAATTCAAATGAGCCAACATGCAACCAGATGCATCGATATTCCGAACACGAGCTCTTAATCAGCATTTCGAACTATAAACGACAGGTAAACTAATATAAGGTAAAACCGGTGATAGCTAGATTGCGCGATAGCTACCTCTCCAACGTTTCATGCACTTCAAACTCGCGATAAACGTTCGTGAAATTTCAATTAATTCAATCTGAACAGGAGGAATTGTCACCGATCGAAACTTCTTCCAATTATCGTCGAATAAAGTATTTATTTCCACAACAACGATTAAAGTCGGGCCTTTAAACATATAAATACCGTATCTCCAATTATCTTATTGTGAATACGTACACACTTTACAGCAACAAAGTGAAGATTGTTCTCTTTTTTTTTTTCCAATCAAATGTTTACGAACAATATCTAGTTACACGTTAATAAAAAGCAAAAAAGGAAAACGGTACGAAGAGAGTAGTATTTGCAAGCAAATCAATGTTCCTCTCGATTTGGTTTCGCGTACGCGTTTCGTTCGTTCAACGTATATCGAATGCGTTAATCGTCGAGACGATAAAGTTCGATGTTTGGGAAACGATGTTTAATTCGGTTGCTCCAGATATGAAAGGCGAACAGAAATCGCACGCGAATGCACTCGCGGGAGAGAGAATCCCATTGGGGAGAGAAGCGAAGAAGAGGGAGAGAAGGAAAGGAGGATTTATCCACCTCGGTGCTGTGTATGCTGAAGATAATCGTTAACCCGTCGCGTGTAACCAGACGAAAAAAGAAGCGGGTCGAGGTCGTTCGCGGCCTAAATAACGCCTATGATAGCGTGTAATTGTATGCAATTACACGTGCCTCGAATAAGAGGAATTTGAAGAAATCCGTTTGACTTACAAGTGTCTACATTTTAACAGGAATCGTTTAAGCCATCTTTTTTGCATACCTTTCATTTACATATGTCAAATATGTTATGCAACCGCGAATAGGTAATCTTGTACGTAAGGCAAATTAATAGGTAATAGATAGGTAATAAATATAAGTGATACATAATTGTCTATGATATTTCACAGTCTGAAATTTGTTTTCCTTCAAATGGTACAATATCGTCGTAAATTGTATATAGTTCGGTTCAGGCTATAGAATACGTGGATACGTATACGTATCTACCTTGTGCAGGATTTGTTCTTATAACTTTTGAATAAAACATTTATAGCGGAGACAAAAAGTAGCTACTTGCACATATTCGTGTTTTATTAAGTCAGATACGTTACGTATTTTGTTTGCTTTCTGCATCTCGTTGCCCCGACATTCATTCCTCGTACTCCACGAGGAATACTTTCGGACGATGAAAAATTTCACGTGGCTATATTTGACTGTAAGTACTACCTATATATTTAAAAACGTACGATATGCAAATAAAATTTACGTTCTGCATGCAGAATTCTCGTTTTCCTTTCGAACATATTAACCAAGACTTTATGACAAATAAGACACCCTGTGTATAGACATTTCTCTATAATAAAGAAAAGTGAGATATAGTCTCGGTCGATTCTTTATCGTATTCGACTCAGAATACTTTCAGAGGATAAAAAATTGAATTTGAAAGGAAAGTAGGATATAGTCACAGTCGATTCTTCATCCCGATACGTAATACAGAGGTAACATATAGTCTCGGTCGATTCTTTATCGTACTCGACTCAGAATACTTTCAGACGACGAAAAATTGATTTCGAAGGAAAAGTAGAATACAGTCGATTCTGGGATCGATGTTGAACGGCAAACGGTAGGTAGTCATCTTCGAAAGTAAGTAGAGTGAAAAGTGAGCGGTGGTAGAGTGGCATGTTGAAATAAATGTGTAATACAAAGAGACAAAGATTCATCACTATCTGAAGGACGCCAAGCGTCTCATTGCTCGCCAAGGTCCACAACAAAGTGTCTGTTCTTTTTGTTGCAAGCCATTACTACTCAATGACCTCGTGTTGCAAACATGCACGTTGCCATTTTTACCGGTCAATGTCCGGTCAAAGCCACTTCTCTTCAGCTAGATACCCAACATGTCACGTTCTTCTCGCTCTATCTTCTCTTACCCTATCTACCTCTTCTCTTTCTTCGTCATTTCGCCTTTCATTCTCTACGACTAACAGACGTTGCGAGAGCGAATCAAGCCTAGAGATATAGCAATAATGACGATTGGTCATGATGATAGCTGCAAAAGGCCTATTTCTGTACGATGCTGCCTCGGGTCGACGACCGCCGGAAGTCATATCGAGAGATATAGACGATCGTACAGAACTTTAGGAATTCTGCGTTCGTACGAACCTCGTCCTCAATCAGATAGCAATATTTCTCGTGAAACTTTTCTGAATTCTTCCTTTGTTCCGTTCCTACGAACCTCCACTTCTCGTTACAGTTCATCGAAACTGTACATACTCGAGTACAATACTCGAGAAAATGCACCCATTTATATCGGCTAATATTTCAAAAAAGAAAAGCTAAAAAAGCTCGTCTCGTGTTAATTTTGCTTTGATTAGAAATTTATGGGAAATACCAGGAATTGTTCAGAAATGATCTAATATTGAGCAACCTTTATCAGACAATAGTTTATCTATCGTATTCTGGATTAAAGAAGAGAATATCTTTCTATGTTACAGAATCCTTCAAGAGGATGATCAAATGGGGAAGAGAGTTAGGGGATATGTACTTGGTTTGGGTAGGCATGAGGCCTTTCATCTTCCTTTACAAGGCAGAAGCGGTACAACCATTGCTAAGCAGCAGCATTCACATCGATAAAAGTTTGGAATACGGGTATTTGCAACCTTGGCTTGGTGAGGGTTTGCTGACCAGCAGTGGTGAGTACAATGAACATGAAACTTTGTTCCTTTTTCAACGATTAAAAATAATGAGCTGAATTGTAAGAAATGGAATTCCAAGCAAGACTCTTAAATTTATCATTCACTTTTACTTTTTACGAATAATGGTGACGACTAAAATAGCAAATTCCACGTATTACACCACTTGTACCACAAATCTGAATAATTGAAATTGTTCAAAATTAATTCACTCATTAATTCACAAATTTACTCATTTCACTTGCTCGTCTCTATATTGTACTGACCAATATTGGAAACTGTGAAATGTATTTAGAAAACGAACGAATAGCAAGTAATTGTCACTTATCAGTGGTAGGCGCGAAAAAATAAAGAAATTTGTCAAAATAAAAACATTTCTATCCCTCGAAATCGACATCCAGAAAATCAAATTCGCGTGAACCGAGGAACACAAAGAAGTCTGTTCTCCATCGAAGGAAAAGAAATCGGCGACCAGATCGAATCGG